TCAACATCGCTTTACATAACCACACATATTAACTATTTTGTTTTCCTCCTTTCTCTCATTTTCAATAACCTTAATTAACGTATCTTTGCTCTAGCCATTCTCTACGTTCTACAATCTTTCATTCTATGTTTAATTTAAAAAAAAAACTTCATTAATACTATTATTTTTTCATTTCCTTATGGTTTACATTTTCTATTATATGCTTATGGATGTATATCTCTTAATGTTGGCAGTACACAAGAATCGTAAGTTCAAAATTTATAATAAAGTACAAAAAAAATACTAAAACAAATTAATTGAATCTATTACATGCAGCTTTTTCTCATAAGGTAATAGTACATCTCTCTACGTTCAGTTTTCATATCAATTTTTTTCCTTTTTAGTTTGTTTTTAAGTTAATATATTTTTTTTAATGATGCAATACATATTTTCCCACAGTTTTTCCTTTCTCATCTTTTTCATTTCCTATAATCTTAATTACCATATTTGTGCAATAAGCATTATGTTTGTACATTTCACCATCTGTCATTCTCTATTTCATTTTTCCCTTTTTTTCTTCTATTTTCCTATTTTCTTTTTGGTTTACGATTTCAATTACATAAATATATATTATATATACTATACATTTACACATACACATACAATATGCATACACATATATAATTATGCATATATATATATATACATATACATACACACACATGCATATACACATACATATACATAGGCCTACACACATACATATATATATATATATATATAGACATACACATATATATATATATATATTTATATATACCTTTGTACATATATACACATACATATACATACACAAACATGTACACACACATACGGATACATACATGTATATGAGGCATGTCAATGGCGAAATGGTTAAGTTTCAATATTATTAATCTCTGGCTTAGCTTGGTGCTGTTTCTCTATCATGATTAGTTGTATATTTTATTCCTGTATTACTGTTAAAGGAAAGATGATGCTCGAATAGTTTTAATTGTTTTTATTCATGAAACTCCATTTCAAACCATATGTTAATGTAAATAAAAAAGTAGTCCCGTATTCATTACGGTATTGAACGTAGGTTCAGTACCGTAATGAAGGCACAGCGAAGTTTCAAACACCCAACCTCAAGGTTGAGAGACATAAACGCAACCACTTCGCCAACCCTCTCGAACTGTATTGTAAATAGCAATGTTTAATAAAATTGCCCGAAATTTCAATGCGTCTGAGAAACGTGTTTGGAATTGATATAATTCACATTTTATTTTGTACACACAGGAAATACAAAGTAAAAGAGAAATGACCATCGACGAGTTAATGGAGAAATACTCAACTATAAATGAAAGACGAATTGACTATACACGAGAAATGTGTCACAAACATCGAAGTACTATCCCAAAGATGAAAACACTTCCAAAGCTACTGGTGAATGAGAAACATAAGATTGTTTACTGTCAAACGCCTAAAGTTGGTACAGTTAGTTGGTGCAAAATTTTTTTGACTCTTTCTGGATATAAGATTTATTCAGATGTGCTAAAAATGACTGCTCCGCAAGTGAGTGCCGCATGGAAAAAGCACGTACCACTATTATCTCATTATTCTATCGCAAAACAGAAGGAAATAATGTCCAGTTACACCAAGATAATGTTTGTAAGGAACCCTTTAACACGATTACTGTCAGCCTACAATGATAAGTTAGTTGCAAAGAATGCAAGTGACTACAACTTATCATCACAACGCTGTTTGAGCCGGAAAATTTTAAAAAATTTCAGGCCAGGATATACCACCAAAAATTATGATCCAACATTTGGAGAATTTATTAAAATGATCGTTTCCAAAGACAACTACATTTCCAACATCCATTGGAGAAACATGCTTTCAGTATGTTATCCATGCGACATTGATTATGATGTCATAGGACGATTTGAGGATATTGAGAATGATTCAAACTATATACTAAATCGTGTCGGAGCTGATCTTAAGTTTCCAGCATCAACTGGATTCCATTTTACAAATAGTTCAAATTTTGAAAAGGTTAAAAAAAGCTATGCTAACATTCCAGATTCAGATCTTGTTAGTTTATATCAGAAATATCAAAATGATTTTTTACTGTTTGATTATAAAGTCAAAATGGAATTTTTAATATAATAATGATAATAATAATAATAATAATAATAATAATAATAATAATAATAATAATACTGTTTAGATATGTGGCATGTTCAGCTAAAGATATAAAATTTGCTCATATTTTATATCACATGTCTAAGGTTTTGTATACTTTTGACAATTTAAAATATGCTGCCACCTAAATCATCTATAATATAGACATTAACAACATAAATAATAGGTAGTTGCTAAATACAACGGGTTCAGCCGAGGGGCGTGGCTTCGTATGTTGACGTCATGCATAATTTCAGCTACAGTTCGTCTTTCAGTAATAGTTCGTCCTCGACACAGAGTGGGCTGTACCATGGAGGTATTTTATACCTCCATGGCTGTACTTTGTCTGTGGATTGTCCAACATTAACCCCATGAACAAATTATCTTACAGGGTTGAAAATGGGCCTAATAAATTAAAATTACAACTTTAATTACAACATAACTGCTGAAGTTAAGATTTATTACTTTTTAGTGTTTTACAATATTGCCGGCTATATTACACAAAAAGAGAAGGGGAACGAAATGTTAAATATTTAATTCATAAATATATTAACTTTCCAATGTCTGTATTGCAATTGGTGTTGTATAAAAGTTCATAACAACTTGGTGCAGATTCTTCAATACGCTAGAGCCTTACAACAGATTCTCCATAGGCCTAAAAGCCTATGACAGTGGCTGATCTAGGATACATTTTCTGGGTTGGTGGGGGGGGGGGACCGGGAGAGCTAAGCTGTCCGACAGTATGCTTGAGCTTGTATTGAATGCCTAAGGAAGGGGAGGGTTTGGGAGATGAAACCTCTGGATGGCCGGAAATAGTACTCTACGAATGTGAAAAACACGTTTTGGCTTGGTGTGGCCCATATTTAATTTGGCTTTTTTTCTTGATCCGACTGCCCGACGAACTCAGTCGGGAGCCTTGACTCAGTCCGATAGGGGTAAAGGATTAAGCCCCATTCTCCCAAGCCCCCGCTGGCTCTGCCACCTAGACAGACTGTCGCGTGTTGCTGGAAGCACTGTGGCCTACTACTATGCCTTGGCTGTGTCTCAGACTACTGGAGAGGCCTCCTGGTGGTCCAACCTATCTTAGAGCATGGAGGTATAAAAATTAGAGGGGCCTAGACCTACACGATCGTCCATACTTTGGGCCAATCGTCTGGAAATGGACTCGATGTCTCATGTTCACCCGGCCGTAGCAGCAGCAGCAGCACAAACATGCACAAACCAGGGAAGTATTAATCTAAGCCTCAGGCAGCTCGCTATACGTCCCATTGGTCACACGATGTATGTGTGATGTTTTTAGGTAGACGGTATAAGTACATGACGTGTCACCATACAAGCCATGCCCCCTCGGCTGAACCCGTTGTATTTAATAGCAACTACCTAAATGATACTATTTCAATGTGTATGTTTTAAATTTATTATACAAACTGGTGTTTAGAACGAGAACAAACATAAAGGCCGTTTAAATACTACCGTTCCTAAAGTTTTTGCATATCCTTAAATTTCTGGCAGCAATTTTGAGCACTTTTTGTATTAATGTTTGTAAATCATTGAAAACTATTTTTTTTTATCAGGAACTTATTAAAATTTGATAATATTTTACTGCAATGATGATCACTTACTATAACAACTTACTATAATAACCAATTATAAAAGCTAAAATATGGTATTTTAACACTTTGTTATGCTTTTGCAGGTAATCAACATAAAAGAATAAATAAAATCAAAGATCAGCCAGGATTTTGGCGTTTCTTAAATCTTCAAGGTCGATTTCACTGAAAATTTATCACATAAATTCAATATTGTTGAGTTAAACTTTAAAATTTAATTAAAAATTTGCTCTGCACAAAAACCAACAATTCTGTAGGAAACAATGGTTGGATCTCGGTATATATACAAAAGTATAAGCAACAGCTAAAAAGTAAGCATAAGTAAACAACCAGAAATAGAACCAGCATTTACGGACAATGCTACTTTCTGATCAGTGGCAAGTGAGTGTGGGTGTGTGTGTGTGTGTGTGTGTGTGTGTGTGTGT